CAAAAGAGAAAATAAATTTCCACAAATTTTTTCTGATGAAATTCAGAACTGTATTTATGGACTAACAGGTGGCAGGCTTGGCCACTGAGCCCTGATAGCTGGAAATATGAGACTAAAACTTGGATGAAATATCAGGAACACAATTGGGGGGTCAGTATTTAGCTATTCAGGAATACAATTTGGGGGTTAGAATTTACTCAAAGTCTTGAAACATGGTATCTACAGCACTGAACGAAAAGCAGAAGGCTAAGCCAAAGGACTAGGGTTGGACAGGACAGGAATGAAGTGAATCCCCTGTACAAATAGCGGATAAAATCCAGAGAACAGGAAGGAGTGTGATATAAGGGAAAGAATAATAGATTAGGGATCAGGAATCAATGGATTCATATCTACACCTGTTGTCAAATAACTTTTTCTAGCTTGCCTATAAGAGGAGACTGGACTAGATGCAATCCAAGGGCCCCTCAAGCACTCCATTCTATGTGTAGTCAAAGTATAATGCTCCATATTAAACTGTGAGTACAGCAAGTAATCACAGATTTGCCCTTTACTCTTGAATCCGTTATTCAATTAACATTTTCGTGAACAGATTTGGAACAAGAAGTGGTGCATTTAGGAAAAAATTTCTGAACGACTTTGAAATGGACCAAAAAGATTATTCAATGCCATCAGTGAAAAAATAGATTCAATCTAGCACAGCTTTCAGGGTTATCTGATTCCATGTGGTCTGAACCTTCGAGTTATAACTCAGCAAGCTGTAGAACACTGACAGTAATGCAAATGATTTTTGTCTATAGTTGTGAAAACTGTCTGGTGGAGATACAGTTGATTATTGAATGATGGTTATGGACCAATTTTGCTTATGTGAAGCAAATCTCAGCATTTATGATTGCCTATGTGTCTGCTCTTTGGATTCTCTTCTGAACATCTTAATGATTCACTTGTTCATTAATGAGTTAAACCGAATTGCCTGTATAGGCACTAGAATGTTAACTGTACATGCTTGAAAAATAAAATAACAAATGTCAGGTGAAAATAAAGGCAAATATTACTTTAGCAAATGGTTCACTTGACAACATTCCCAATAAGCAGAGCAGAAAGCCTGGGGGATAGAGGAAGGGCAGGATTGGTTAAGGACCCAGATGTGTCTTTTGCTAAGTTCAGTGTGCACAACTGCTAGTAAGTGCCCTTAAACTAAAAGGTATTTTTATTATTAATAAACCTCTCACCAAATATCTTGGCATCTTCTACACATCTCTGGGTTCGCCTTCTTATATTTTCACCATCAGCTATAGCTCTCTGGTATCTCACCTGAGCATCAAAAGCAAAGTCAAAATGATAAGAAAACAAATGCCTACTGGTGGAAAAGAAACTTTTTGCTTACTTTACAAATTTCACCCTTGGTATAGATTTTTATTAAAACAACAACAACAACAACACGAGTTGTGTAGGAATCTTAGATCAGCTACTCCAAATTCCCAGTCATAGCAGGAATCTCTCTTTATAGCGGCCCTGATAGGCTGTCATTTAGGCTGCCAGTTTGAACACAGAACAACTGTTTTCAAGCTCATTATCTTGAGAAAAAGCTTTCTTTTTCACCTTCAGGCAACACTGCCACTCTTCAACTTTCTTTTGTTGAACTGAACTCTAGGATAGCCGAGTAAGTTTTAAACATATGTCATCAATTTAAGCCAATTATTTAGCCTCTTTAGTCTTTTCTTCTTTCATTTTTATAATCCCTGGTTCCTTTCATTCCTCTCACAAGACACACTTTCCAAACCCCTTACCATTTTTGGGCGGTCCTGCTTTGGAATTACTCTAATTATTTCTCTTTCTCAAAGTCTGTCAGTCTAGTACTGGCACAGTAAGCCAGAGGTAGTCTGATTGGCAGAATACAATGATAAATGACTTCACTCATTCAACAAATATTAATTGAGTGTGTACTACATGCCAGGCACTGTACCTCCTTTGAAGCTACCAAAATATCAGGTATCTAAGTACTGTGACACCAGGGAACTGAAAAGAGATGAGTATCCGTAGTCAGTAATGTTTTTGAACTAGTACAGATTATTTTGCCTAGTATATCTAGCAAGAGGGGTAAAGAGCTAATTAGAAGAAACAGTTTAAAAACTAACTTAAAAAACTTTACGTGGATATTTAAATCAGAGAAAAGATGTGCATATAGATAATATAAACAGATAATAGAAAATATGATATATGTTACAGAATATATGAACAGATAATATAAAATCTACCCACTGTTAAATCCTGGACTTCCTTCTCCAGTTTAACAGCTTTTAGCTTTAAGGCTCGTTCTGCAAGAGAGGGCCCAAGTTCATCAGGAGGGTCCTCAGAATTGCAGTCTTCACCAGCGGTTCTCTGGGTGGCAGTGCTGAAAGGATGCAGCCATCCCCTAAAGTGGGAGGGAGGTGGTGCATTATGAAGAAATGCCGTCACAAACAGCTGAAGTTATAACCAGGTTCAGAGGCTGGAATGTTTCCCAGATTGACTCTCTCTAGACAAAGTGCTTTCAGTCTCATTAACAATACAAACACTTATAATGTGCTTGCTAAATGCCAGACACAGTTGACAGGGTTTTACTTAAATCATCTTTTCATCTTACAACATGTGAGATAAATACTATCATCATCCCTATTTTATAGATGAGAAAACCAAAGCTCAGAGAGGCTTATGACTTGCCCAAGATTACATAGTTAGTATTGTTGAATCAGGATACTGAGCATCAGGCAGTAGAAATAGCTGGAAGTGGGGACACAAAAGTCAGCAAGAGAAAACGAAATTATAATACCTAGAACCAGCAGGGCAATATCAGAAGCGAGAATTCAAAACAAAGAGCCGTACAGTTCAGGTTCAATCCCTCATTTTATAGGTGGGGAAAATTAAGCCCAGTAAAGGTACCTTATCGAATTGGAGTGAGGCCTGGAATTCTAAAGCCATCTTGATCACAAGCTCTAAGTAAAAGCAAGGCTTTTATGGAAGAGAACCTACACTAAGAGAAAATGAGTTGGGAGCTCACCTATATGTAAAATCAAGTCAATCAAAAACTTATAAAACATTTACTATATGTTGTGGACTGTGAACTATATACAGGTGAATAAAACAGATCATATAGACATATAGTTCAGTTCACATAAAAAGTTTAGAGTGGGGCTAGTTTGCAGATCTTGGATTGTAGCAGTTCTGAGACCCCTGTTCAAGGAAGTTTCCATTACACCTCCTGGATCATCATAACTTAATATGAAGTAAAACCATCAAGAAATCTGTGAGCGCAAAAGGTCTTTAAAACAAATAGTTTATTTATTTAAACTGGTATATATTGAAAAGTGGCCACTGAGGTGAAATCTAAGCAAAGGCTTAAAGGGGGTAAAGGAGTTTACTTCAAGAAAGGGAAGAGGGAACCATCAGTATAAGGGTGTGGGCAAGATTACTTTTATCTTCCAGGCCAGTCCTGAATTCAGTTATTATGATCTGATGTCAGATTACACAAGATTACACATTTTTATTTCGAAAATTGGTCACCACAGATCTGGGACACATCACACAGGGTGAAACAGATCCTTCCTCCTAAATTGCTAACAAACTACACTTATCCAATTGAAAGGAGGTCAAGATATCCTCAGGGCCAGTTGAAAGGGCACACGGCCAGGGCCCAAGTCGTGAGAAAGAGGGAGTTGCGGTGCATCCATTCAATTGCTACTGTTTCAGAACTGGAGTCGGGGAAATTTTATTAGAAGCGAACATTTTCCTTCTGATCACTTCCCTACACCACAAACTGTCAAAAAGACTAGGAAAGAAAAAAAAAAAGCTTGAAACCCGGAATTCAACCTCTCACCCGAGTGCTGGGTCAGGTGTGTTAAAAAGGTGACAGATAGTTATGCAAAATTTCTGGATTTCACCGTAATTTAATTTACTTTTCAGAGATCCAACCTGATCCATCCCCCTACTCAGCAATTTTTATTCTTTCCGATAAATAAACTGTCAACGGGGAATAGTCTCTAAGAATAAGTAACATTGGTCACTAATTTTAAAGGGCCGATTCTATACAGCCCTGACTGGTTTCCGGTCTGGGTTCCACCACTTCATGAGTATTTAAGTTCGGAGACGTTACTCAACTTTTCTAAACCTCAGTTTCCTCAATTAAACGGAAGAATAAAAATATTTTTTTTTATTCTTATCATACTGATAAATGATCAGTAAAAGTCGCAACTGATGGATAAAAGTAGCAACCGGAACTTCAAACTCCCGAAGGCAGGTGGAAGGGCCGTTTGTAAAGACCAAGTCCAACGGCCTCCTTTTACCGATAGGTAAAGTGAAGCTCAGATACGATCACACAGGGTGTTGGGAGAGAATCCCAAATTACCCGCAGACACCAAAGCTGTCGAGAAGGGGATGGGAAGGGTACATCCCCAATTCAATCGACGCTCGGGCTGAATAACAGTTCTCACCTCCGAGGGCGTGACCTCGGATCTTTCCACCTTCCTCGGCCCGGCAAGAAGGCAAGGCTGTAGACCTCAGTTTCCCTCTCTGTAAGATGGGGCCGTGAGCGCCCAGTCGTAGCGGCCGAGAGGCTTGGTAGGTCCTCTCGCCCTCCAGCCTAAAATCGCCCCTCCGGATCGCTTCTCCTGCATCGTCCTCACGTCCCGGATCCCCGGCCTGCCTCGCTTACCTGCCATCTGACGCGCCACTCGAGGCCAGGAGGGGCTGCATCCGCCGCCGGACCGCCCACAGGAACCTCACGGCCATGTTCCCCACCTCGGCTGACTGAGGCTGCGCACGCGCACTTGCCCCAAGTGACGAGATACGCTCGCTTCAAAAACCACGCTTCCCGGCAGCCTTCGCGGGAGGGTTTTCTCTCTCAGGGCCCCGGATGGGAACGCTGTTAGTCGGGTTGTCCCTGCGCCGTTTCCTACCCGGTCTTCAGACGAAACGCAACCCTTCCGGCCCCCTGCGTGTTCGGCGAGTAGGTTGGTTTCCTGTCACGAGGGAGTGGGCTCCGTGCTACGCGCGGAATTCGCGGCGACCAAAGGGAATAACAGCTGTACCCTCAAGGAGCTAACATGAAGTTATGCACAACAAACAATTGCTAACGCCCTATAAAGTCAAAATATGACCGGTGTTTAAAGGTGAGGGGCTTGGTGCTGCGGAAGCCTAGAGTACGATATGGCCGAGTGTGGCGCGTTTTCCCGAAGGAAATAACTTTTGAACTGAAAGCGGAATAATGAGTAGATGAAAAGAAGAGGCAGCTGGTTCAGGTAGAGGGAAACAGCATCTGCAAAGTCAAGAGGGGTATTGCGAGTAAGGCACTGAAGTACTTGAGGAAGCGGGGGAGCAACACAAGACGGTGGTTAGGCAGGGCCAGAGCACTTGAGGAATTAAAAAAGTCGAAGCCTGACTCTCATCTCCCATCACTCTTCCCTGCTTTTTTTTCTCCAGTTCCCCCTTTCCCCCCGACTTACTGTGTTTTAAAATGTGTATTTTCTCATTTCCCCTCACTAACGTGTCAGTTGCATTAGGGCAGAGATTTTTTTTTTTTGCCTGTTCATGCTTAATGAACAGAGTGGAACAGTGCCCTAATGTAGGTCAAGTTTTTTTTTTTGTCTAATGAACTTGAGTTTTACTCTGACTGCAAGGGGAACATGTTACGATGCCTTTACGTGTTTAATGGGTCACTGACTGCTGTGAGGAGATTGGGTCCCAGAGGTGGGGAGACAAGCTGTTGGGACTGGTGCGTGCACAGAAGGGTTGTATTCTGTCCTGGGGTCTTCTCACAGGAGAGACCTTTGTAACCACTTTATCTAAGGTCGCTACTGTTTTAGTTGTCTCCAGGACTTTTGCTGGATTTTGTTCGTTTTCTCAACTAGAGTATGAGCTTCATGAGAGTTTCTGTGTTGTTCACAGCGGTGATTTCTGACATCGAGTACAGTAGGTGCACATAGTAGATGTTCCAGCATTTGTTGAATGAATTAATGAAGTTGGATGGTGCCAGTGGAGATAGGAAGAAGTGGATGAATTTTAGAGAGATTTAGTATGGAAAACTGACAGGTTGTGAGAACGGACTGGTGATTGGGGTTGAGGGCACTTGGAGTTGCCAGACTAGTCACTGGATAGTCCCTAATGTCAAAAAAAATTTTTTTAAGGGATGGGAAGTGTGCCTTCAACATTCTGAATCTTCACCACAGGATGGCTTACTTGTACGGTAGCTATTTGGGTCATATTTTTTCTCTGCCTGTCCGTGAGTTCCATAAGGACAAAGCTAGCGTCTTCTGCATCCTTATATTCTATCCAGGGCCTAGCTCAAATGTGTTGTAACCAGCAACCTTCTGTTTCCTTTTGGCCCCAGGAAAAGAACAGCATGGTTTAAGGAGGGATTATGATCCTCTTTTACATATGAGAAAACTAAGGCCCAGAGAGGTTGGTGAACCTGCTCAAAGACCCCCACTGAGGATCCAGTGATACTAGAAATCTGATAGTCCAAACACTTTGCAGTGTTGGGGAGGATGGAACTTCAAGTCCACTTTAGAACCATGACCCTACACTTTGAAAAAACAACCAAACCAGAACTGGCATCCATGTTTTAGCCATTTTGTTAACACTTCTCTTAGCTAAGTTACACCAAATGTGCTGCATCCACTTATTCATCTATTAAGTGACTGTGTGCTTCTGAATACTGCAGTGCAAGAGGAGGGGGAGACATGAGTGAAATAGAGCCTTGGAACTAAGAGGAGGGGAGTTTTAGGGTCAGACTTCATGTATTCAGGTGCCGGCTCTCCCACTTCCTAATTGTGGGCTTTAGCAAGTTACCTAACCTCTCTGGGCTTCCATTTCCTGAACTATGAAAACTGGGTTAATAGAACCTATCTCACAGGGTTTTAGTAAAGATTAAAGGGATAATACCTAGAAAAGTAATTAGTTAGCACCAGGATCGGCTACATAAAAGGCAAAAGGAAAGTGTGAAGCCCCTTGTTCGAAATTACTGAGAGAGTAACAGCAGAGCAATAAACCAAGCACAGGGCCCTGCTAGGTGTGGGGTTGACTGCACAGGTTGTATGCCTGTGTAGCCAGTCATGGCTAACAGCGTCTGATGTGTGGTGAGTGCTCAATAAATGTTAATTATTAATTTCCTAGGGTACCCCCTCTCAAAGAGCCAAGATGTATTGATGGCAAAAGACACTTAACCTCAAAATAACTGCATAAGAAAGAATGTGACACACTGCAGACACAGTTGGATTTTTGGGTGCCATTCCAGGACCCACATTTTAAAAAAGAACATTGACAATTCAGATTATGTGAACTCCTTTGTTACTGAAGACACTCAGGTGGCATCTGGATGAAAGCTGTTAGTTATAGATTGGTTGCCTTTTAGCTTTTGGTGGTCATAATAACCACATGAAAGTCATTTCTTCTTCAGTGGAAAGGACACGGGATTTTGAGTCAGGCGTTTCTTATCTAGCTAATAAGAAGAACCACTATGGCTGAACATTTCCTATTCTTGGATGCTGTACAAGATGTTTCCTGTGTATCAACTCATTGAATTCCCCCAGTAGTCTTGGGAGGAAAGTATAGTTGTTAACCTGGTTTTCCCCCAGTATTCTCGGGAGAAGAGTACAATTGTTAACATGGTTTTCACAGGTAAGGAAAGCAATCAGAGAGTTCAAAGTCACAGCTGGTAAGTGGCAGAGGCAGGGCTCAAGCAGCCTTGTCTGGATCCAGGCTCATTAGTCCTAAGTCTTAAGTTCTGCCTCTGGCAGCCAGGTGCTTTTGGTCAGGTTATTTTACTTGCTTTGGTCTCTAGCTACCTCAGAGGGTGATAAAGTTTGGGTGAGGCTCAAGTATGTAAAGTCTTAGTTAAGAAAAGTGTGTGTAGCCTCTAGCAAAGTGTCCAGAGGTTATTCTGGGATTTCTCTTCTTTCCTCTTGAGCTAACCTCTAAGCTTATACAGTTAAATGGTTTTATCTTTATTGGAGGGAAAGGTGGTAAAGACCTATAAAGTGCCTACAGTGTTGAGAAAGTAGTGAGTGGCGCAGTTAGGAGACTGCCTGGGACTTGAGGTCCTTGCTCCCCTATAAAACTATCAAGTGTCTGTGAAAAGTTTAGCACCCCTGTGGCAGAAATAAGCCACCATCCTCTTGGTTCTCCATGATAGTTTTACTTGATAGCAGGTATGAAAGGGCAGACTGGTGGGCCTCCAAGTGCAAGGTAAGGTTAAAGACAAGGAGTGTCACCTGGATTTCTAGCCATAGCTCCCAGAGCCTGAGTGCCATATAAATTAGGTAGGGGATTTGATTGATAGCAAATGACCCCATCCTACAATGCCTGCAATATCCTGTGGACATTAGAAATCCATGCTCTTGTCACTGAGTAGCACTGTGAGCTTAAAGTATGTCAGCTGCTGAACCCCTCTTTGCCAGATCTCTGATTTGTAAACACTCAAATCAGGGATTCTAGTTTCTGCATCATGAGGATTCTATAATCATGAGGAATGATTGTAGAATTTACATGATCTCTGTAGTTTTTGTTCACTTCATGCAAGTTAGGGATAACTACTGATTTTTCAGCCTATTTATCTTGCCTTGATCAGATATCATCTGATCAAGTCCTGTCCCTTTATCCTGTACCACCGATGCCTCAGCACTGCTTTCCTTTTTCCTGAGGACTGGGAATGGGATGCTGAGAATGGGATGGAATGGCTTATTCACATGTGCTTTCATTTCTTCTTTAGAAGGGAAGGCAAAGACATTTAACAAAACCTTTAGGACTGTGCAGATTTCTGTCTCCCTCCACCCCTATTTCCACCCTCTGTAAAGTTATAAGGATGCCCTCCATTTCCCTCTTCTCTCCTCCTTCTTCCCTCCCCATGTCCCCTATAATCATGCAGACAATAAAGGCTGGTCTTTTGGGTGCCCCAGAGAGTGTGGGCTACTTCCAGTCTTCTGATGTCTCTTTGTGAAAAAAGCATTTCTGCCTTGGATGGACAAGGTGTTATCTCCTTTGGATGAAATCCTCATCCTCTTTCTAGGTCTTCTTCATTTCCCATTCCTGAAGTACAGAAAGACAGGAAGTATCAGTTTGTTAAATATTCTAGTGTAACCTGCAGGATAAAAACATACCACTGCACCTAATTATATAAAGATCTCCATGGCCAGATCACAGAGTCATGGGTCCTAGTCCCACTCCCTTTCTTTGGCCTTGGGTAAGTCATTTCTCCATGCTGGGTCTCATCTCTAAGGGGGTTCAAACACTACAGTTTGTCTTTCTCAGACAAGAAAACTGGGGCCCAGAAGAAGTTGGGGAGTGGGGACTGCATCAGTGCTTTTCCACAGCACCTTGGTTGCGGTAGGAGACTGATGGGAGACAGGCCAAAGCAGCTTGGTAAGGAAGGGTGAGGGCAGGCAACCCACAGGGCTCTGTTCGTTCTCCCAGGGCTGTCTAGGAGTTCACCCGAGATGAATACTGAAGTCAGGGCCAGCAGTGAATGGCTTTTTACCTATTAAAAAATCCATGGCATTTCCAGCCAGCCCTGGAGGGGATGGGGTGAACCAGGGCAGAAGATGGTGGTTAGAAAATTCTTGGTGGGAGGATTCTCCATTCCCAACCTGCCCCTCTCACGTCTTCACCACCTTGACTGCAGTTGCTCAGGGCAGTGACCTAGGGGTCATCCTTGATTTCTTTCTTTTCCTCATCCTCCACATCCTCATCAGCAAATCCTTCTGCTCTACCTCCAAAGCCAGCTAGTTACTATCACCTCCACTAAACCTTTCTAATCTCTCATCAAGGTTACTTCTTCTAACTGATCTTTCTTACCCCCTCATCCATTCTCAACATAGTAGTCAGAATGATCTTTTAAAAATGTAATTCATATCTAAAAATTCCTTGGTCAGAATTTGCCAGTGACTTTCCATTATGTTAGAACAAAATCCAAAGTTCTTCCAGTGGCCTACAAGGATCAAGGAGAAGCAAACTATGGCTCATGGGCCAAATCTGGCTCACTACATGTTTCTGTATGACCCATCAGCTATGACTTTTCAGATTTTAAATGTGTTTTTTTTTTTAAAAAAAGAATAGTTTTTTATGACACCTGAAATTTATATGAAATTCAAATCTCAGTGTCCATGAACAAAGTTTT